TTACATTTGGTAAATTAACAAAAACTGTTGTGTGACAATTTGTTATGCAATATTTTAGTCTGAAACAGGTATACTGATCTGGAACAAATGCTCACAAAATGAAGTGAAGACTATTCACAGAGATGACGTTTCAAACATGCTCAGCTCCACCATGGGATTCTTTGCATGAATAATCACCAAAACCGATTCCTCTCTTGCTATTAAATCATGTCACACATGCACCAGTGAAACTTAAATGGTTCACGTTGCAACAAGCAGGCTTTATAACACAGCAGCATAGTCAACAAGATGGAATAACATTAAAGTAATTCTTAAAATGCAAGGCTAAATGATTAAAATGATTAAAACAGAGTTTTGCATTTTATATATATTGCACTTGAAATGGTTTATTCACCAAAATGCCTGGGTGTCTTCTTTACATATAATTCAAATTGTAGAAATAAAGCAGAATAAAGCTCTTTTGTTTAATATGGTACTTTGTATACTTTAACCTTAGATTAAAAAATACACATAAAGAACATAATTAGTATAGCTTAAATTTAAACATATACATATTTTGTACAACTCATGATAGTACAAATCTTTTTCCCCAGAGAACAGTACTCTATTCTAGAAAAAAAGTGGCATGGCACATTAGAATTCACATGATTTGTGTGATGTGCCTTTGTCAGTCGGATGCCTGCCACCCAATTTTGCCAGTGCAGATTCATTTCCTGATCATCTACTATCTGGAGATTGAAAGGCAACTATACTTTTCCAGACTAAGAGTTACAAGTGCCACCATATTTCCAGGAGAGGGGGGTCCCTCTGCCTCCTCCTATGAATCAAACAATGGAGTGTAATACATTTCCTGAAAATATTCCTAGTATCACCTAATCATAAACCACAACAGAACATCCAAGTGACAACTGAAAAATATTAAAAGACATCTCTCTCTCTCTGGCTGACACTCTCTTCCATTATTTGCTGTGGCAAATCAGCAGTACAAGAGATCCTTAAGCCATGGCAAAGAACTGGGCACTTCTTCAAATGCTTTTTCTTTCTTTAATTTGTTTTTTAATTGAATGTCTCACATCTCACCAGCATAGTGATTTTCAAATGGCACCAGGACAGTTGGGAGGCTCATTGCAAGCTGCTCAATGTGAAGTTCAATATAAAAAAGAACTTCCCTTCCAACAAGCAGCCATTAGAGATGTGTTCTGGGACAAACGGTATATGCAACTACAGAAAAGGCAACAGACAAGGTGTATGAATTACAATGCATGTGTCTAAGGATCAAGAGGTAGTCCATGATCCCCTCCTCACCCCCAAAAATCATTCTGGGAACTTTATCTCTAAGAGCGGAAATGCTGAAAGATCAGCAGTGAAACAAACTGCTGATCTTTCAAGTGTCAGAGAAACCAGCTGCCATCCAATAATCTGTGCAATACAGACTACTGAGATTAATCACACCATTGCCTTCCTTCCATGTCATCACAACCAAGAACATTATTCTCACTTGAAAATCATAACCTGAAAATGACTATTTGAATGTTTCAGCATATCATGTACATGGCACATGATATGCTGCGCTAAATTTGATTATGAATTTTGGGCTATACCCTTCTGCTGAAAAACAACCTCCATGAGAAAATGTTTGATTTAAAAAAAACACACAAATGCATTTAATATATGTTGTATATTATGTTGCAAATCACACAGAAAACAAAAACAGTTTGCACTCATTATGCATCTGCCCCTTCTGCATCATAGACCTGAATAAAGAACAAATGTCAAGCGTGTGCCTCAAAGTATTTACACATTAACGTTTTCCCCTACCCCTTTGCATACTCCCAGATGCAACTACCTTTTCTCACTGTCTATCAAAACCTGATCAGATGGATATGTGAACAATGTATTTCCTTCCTCCTGTGGAAAAGAGTTTAGACTGACTTTCTTGCTACACCAAAGGCCTTACTGAAAGACCCACAATTTCTAATGCACATTATCTCCACTATTTCTAGTGTGGAAAAGAGAAGTTGGATTGAGGTTTCCAAGCCTGATTTTCTTATTGACAACACCATGATTACAATAGATTCCCTTTGCTAAGAATAGAGATGCAAAAAATATGTTGAGATTTAAGATAATTCTGTGTCAGGGTTTATTATATCTGGAAAAAAACCATTCTAAACCTAACTCCAGGATCTCATTCCTCGATACAGATTATTGTTACTATTTCATACTAGCCAACATTAAGCTAAAGGGGACTTTGAAAAGTCTGTAGATTACCCTGTGAATAATTTGCTAGTTTCAATGTATTCATACATCATTCACATAGACACAGAACAGATACCATACAAGTGTTCCAATATCTTAGTCATGAAATAACTCTTCAACCTCAACACTGATATAATCCAAAGATATCAATCTAACATATGATTTATGTGGAAATCTGCTAATTCAATATCCTCTATAAAATGCCTTCCATACACATTTTTCACAAATGCCCTTTTTAATATGCACCTAGGTACCAGTGAACTAATAATTCATGTAACAACATTTGGTTACAAACAATGCTACCCAGTGCAAACCACATTCCTTAAGCCAAAACGTAAAGTACCTGGGGACAACACAGCTTTGATCCCTTTTATTCATTTTTCACAGGAGCACACATGATAAAAGCAATTCAGTAATACTCATGGTCCACACCATGTATCCCACGGTAATGGTGATGTACCCCACTGTCTCTGGGTTCCTATAAACTAACATTTCCATTCCTAATTCAGCCACAAATGTATCTACTCATTACCCTGCAATGTTTTTGAGAATCAAGAAAAAGTGTATGTTTTACTGCAGTAAAATCTGCTAATAATAAAGTTGCCTGCGGTTCAAACTTAAAGCAGATAATCTGCCAAATACATATACCTGCCAAAATCCCCTGAAATCACTAGCACTTGAAAAAAGATAGGTAACAAAAAGAAACTGCAAAAAGCCAGTCATAAACAGGAATTTATAAGTTTCGTATATACCAACATATAAAGTCTAGAATTCTGAACAGAATGTTGATAGTGCTTTCCTTTCAATCAATGCTTACAAAGGAGAATTTACAATGGGAAATTTAAGAACATACAAAAGGAAACTTGGAAATTAAAAAATAATAATTATTTGAGTTGAATTCAAAGGGTTCTTTTGCAAAATGATGCAACCAATGGAGTTTGTAAAAAAGTATTTAGAATTGAGTTCTTAATTTAAACATTATTTACTGTCTGAGGAATAGACTTGAGAGTACTCTTTAACTGCACTGGGAATTTAAAGAACAGGGATCAGAATGTTTTAAAGCTTCTGATCAGTGAGGGATAATGTGAGTTGGAATCCAATAACAGAGGACCAAACAATTCCCAACTATGACTTAAAGGCCTGTTTACCAATAACGTTGTTATTATTTAGCTTACCACATGCTACTATCAAATGATAGGAACAAATTAAGTAATCAAGGAGGTCAATGACAAGTTAAAGCAATCTGCCTACTAATGTGACCAATCTTTTACTAACCTTGCAGTGAGTAAGGCACGGAAAAACTTTTGTATTCTGTATCGAAGATGAAAACCAAAGGATGGCCAGTATATATACTCTGACTTCCACAATTTAAAATACCTCAACATAGTTCACTTTTTCCCAGTCATTTTACATGCATTAGACATCCATGTAGAAACATTTGGGAGTGTTTTTTGTTTTTTATTCAAAAAATATAATGTGCTGTTTTGAAAACACACAGTTCTCAGGATTAAATGCAGGGGATCCCCTTATCCGTGGGTTCTGTATTCACAGATGAAATCAACCATGTACGTATCAATAATAATTATAAAACAATTACAGATATTATTTTATTTGGCAACCTCCGCTGAGTGGGGGGGGGGGGGGAGAGAAGCTACTAGGCTGGGGTGGGGAAGAGAAAGAGAGATGAAGACTAGGAGGTGTTTATTGGGGTGGGGTGGGGAAGGGAGGCTGTGGCACAAAAGACCATGAAGGAGTTTTCAGGGAGGCTGGGCCGTGGGCTCATGCAAGGAAGAATAGAAGCAGTTGTCAGGAAGACTGGGACACAGATGTGTGCAAGGAGAGGAAGTGGAAAGAGGAGCAGAAGCAGTTGTCAAGGAAGTTGAGGATTCCATGGAAGGAGTGGAGCTCAACCTCCTTCACTGTCACTTTATATATTGCTGGAGGTCCTGGATTCCCAGCTCCTGTATGCCCAAATGAATTCAACAAGGTCTCTTGTGCAACAAAAAAAACTATTTGCAAAGAGAAAACTGAACAGTGATTTAGTTGGCACATCTCCTAAAGCATTACCTCCATCCTCACCTCTATTCCAAACTTTTTAAAAAGCTTATTACTCTGCCAGCTAAATTCCGAATAGCCACCTTCCCAACAAGGAAGAGAATACTGTTGAAAGAGGCAGCTCTTTGAACAATTGGTTGTATTGTGATCTGCTATGTTCTTTATCTTTGAGGAGGAAAGAGGACTGGAAACCACTTGTTAAACTGGAGTGAAGAGAAGAACGCAAGGAATTAATTTCCTGAGTATTATCGCATTCACTTTTATATCTGATTTCATGGAAGACCATTATGTAGTGCAGATTAACTGGAAAAACGAATCATTAACATAGTGGTTGAGGGGTTTTATTATGGGTACAAATAATAGAACATACTTCTACAATTGTTAGTTTAGACTGCACAGGTCCTGCCTCGGCTGCCTCTACTCTCAGAATTTCGGACCACTGGGCAAGCCGACTAGGGCTTCCGGGAGTTGGAGCCACAGGTTGTGCAGGCCTGGTCTAGGCTGTATGTTATTCTAGGGCAGCCATGGCACCTTCAGTTTGAACACACATGCTCTTCTGAACACCTGACAATATTTTTAGATGGGGCTTCAGAAATATTTTGGGTGGTTTTTATACTAGAACTTATGTACACCTTTTTGTGTCTTTACCAAGTAAAAGAGAATAAAATATATGCCAAGTAAACAATGCCCTAATTTACATTCAGAAGTCAACTGAATTACCACAGCATATGAAACTGTGTGCCTGATTCCAAAGGGGAAAAAATATTGAAAAGTCCTAAATTGCTCTTGTTGAGATGGAATGATAAGATGTCTGTTTTTCATCGGAGACTCTTTTTTGACTTGCCAAGAGATGACTGATGTTCCTCTTCTCATAAATGCCAGGCAAGATATAGAAGATGTGCCACGTAACCTTAGAAGGACTAATTCTTCACTTCCAGAGCTTCCTTCTCAGCTTTTTCTTTAGTCTTCTCTTTCTCTTCCAGTTTTTCTTCCTTTTGCAACAGTGACATGATCTCTGCTACTTGGTTAGTAGAAATATCAATATCTTCCTTGTCAATCAGTTCTACCACCTATGCAAATGTTTAAAAATGCAAATATAAAATGTTTAAAAATGTAAATGTAAGTTGTATGCATAAATGCTTACCTTTTGCTCTATTTGTGGTCTTTTAAAAAAATAACAATTAAAAATAAAGTAACTGAAGCTCAGCATCAAGCTATTTCACATTATACAATGTGCCCCTCCCCCCAATTTCAAAATAATTACACCTCCTTGGTTTGGAAAGGCCAATTTTGTATTTAACAAACAAACAGGACTCTCCTTGCAACTAATTGATACTGAAATCTGTGTTGAATTTGATAAAACATGTAATTTACCTTACAATTAATGTACAGGAAAACTAGGGCTATACTTCCTTCATTTTATAATCTAAGGTTAACATAACCACCTAACAACATGCTTCTCTAGAAAAATATTAAAAAGCAGGACATTAAAGGGCCCACTTATCCCCCTACCAAGCCCAGAGATTACTTCGGTCCGAAGACCAAAATTTGCTTGAAGTCCCCAACATCCGGACTTCTCATCTGTCCTCTACTAGGCAGAGAGCCTTCTCGATTGTGGCCCCTTATTTATGGAATGCCTTGCCAGTTGAAACCCGAACCATCCGAGAGCTACTTGCTTTTCGGAAAGCCTGTAAAACCTTTCTTTTCTGACAAGCTTTCGATGGGTGAATAACTCGGGACTATGTCTGTTCTCGTTTTTATTATATTTTAAAGTTGGTTGTATTGTTTTAATCTACTGCTGTAAACCGCTCCGAGCCAAATTGGGAGTGGCGGTATACAAGTCAAATAAATAAATAAATAAATAAAATGGGAAGGATTAATAGATTTCTACTAATTATGGTAATTCATTCCTGATCTTGAACACAAGATCAAAGCTGAGTTGATGATACATTTCATTCATCCCTGCAAAAAAATCTGTCCTGTTATTATATGTTTCCAGTGCTCTTATGCACAATGAAGCACAGATCAGTTGACAAAATGGAAGAGCAAAAGACAGAATGCAAAGAGCAAAAAGACCAAGCAGACTATAAAAACTGAATATTGTTAGGGCAGATTTTATTCTTTTGCTCAGCAAGTGGACATTATGCTTTATACATTGACTCAAATTTTCTCAAGTTCAGGTGTGGCTGCCAGGGGAATAGAAAAGCATTTTACTTTCTAGAAAAATAGAGCAATCTTCCACCATCTTGAGGAAGGCATAACATATTACATAGCTATCATAGCACAGCTTGATTTTAAGAGAATTCATGAAAGGAAATCTCTTAAAATCACAGGATGGTTCCCCTTTAGTGGGGTAATGTTGATAAGCTGCTGAAGCAGAGAAGGTGGAGTGGAAAATTTCCTTCTCTGACCTGATTCATATTAACTCCTACAAGAGTGCAAACACATTATTCAAATGTGAAGATAAATAATATATGACATGTTTTCATCCAGTGCAAGTCTGTTATTGCATTCAGAAAGGGATAGCCAGAAGAAGTTTATTTCCTGTTGCTGCTCTGGCTAAGCAAAGATCACGTGAGAACTCAATGAGCAAGGCAAGGGGAGGAATTGAGTATGGAGAAAGAAAGAAAAGCACAGAGTTCTTGTATTTCTTCTAATCACATGATCCTGGCCTAACCTGAGCAGTGACAAGAGATGCCCCCTTCTCGATGTCCCTTGCCACAAACAAAGAAATCAGTTGTCAAATAGTAATGCTAAGAAATGTCCTAAAATATCTGGCTTGTTCCTGCATAGAAGATGTCTGATTTCAAAAATCATGTTACATCAGTTATGCTTGTCTAACAGTTCAAAAGCTGCCTTGGATCCCATACTGGCAGACATATGGTATATGAAACAAAATAAAGAAAAAGCACTCACCTTCACAACATCATCAATATCTATTTTTCCATCTTTGTTTTCATCCAGTGCTTCTGCAAGCCTTTTCAGTTTGCTTTCTGGTATCTTTTGGATATGTTTCATCACATTAATAAGTTCATTGATACTGATGAGATTCTCCCTAAATGGGAAACACAATCTGTATACAGCAAGCAGTTACTACAAGGATTTAAAAAAAATAAACGCCCACAACAACCTAATACTAACCAGATAATGAGATTCCATGAGAAAGAAAACAATGATCAACATAAAAGAAAAACAGCCCAGGCGTGGTATAATGAAACATTGAATAGTGAGCTATATGATCACTAATTTCTTCCTGAGACAATGCCAGATAGCAAAATATGGGAGCGGGAAAATAACTTGACTGTTCTTTGATCCTAAAAAAATCAGCATGTCAGAGAGGACATTAGGCTATATCCCTTCTCCAGCTTCCTGACTCTTTTACAGTGACCGCGAGTCTTAATTTCTCATTGCTGGAGATTCTGCATTAAGCAGGGAATTAGACTCAATGGCCTAAGAGGCCCCCTTCCAACTCTATTATTCTATCAAACATATTTATGTTAAAACCACCTCAAATTTGTTGAAAGGAAGCTGAAGATAAAAGGTGCTTTTAAAAAAAGAACTGTTTCCAGGCACTGGCCTACAGAAGATGAAGTAGATACTTTAGTGTTTTGGATTCAAAAGAGGTACTTGTGCTGAGAAAAAAACCTTCGCTGACACTAACAAGTGTTGCCTCCCTTATTGACATCACTTATTACTTACCCAATAGGAGGAGTAGCACCACTATCCAACTGTCCGTCTACCACTTTTTGATCTGTCTCCAATTCCTGGATAATTTTATCAATCTGCCCAATCATTCGGTTCACTCTTTTAGTGAGTCTCTTGCTTGCTTTAGATTCTTCAACTATTTCCTCTTGTCCAGTCTTACACAGTTCTTTGATCTCTTGCAAATCCTAAGGATCAAACAGAATTTTTGGTAAAAAGCAAGTTGAAAGACCACTCAAAAACATGGAAAGGGTATGCACACATGCTGACTTTCCAATTTCTTCTTCTCCCCTACCCTGATAAGTCATCAATTACATCTAGCTTCTTCAGGGACAATCCTGAATGTAGGACACCGTGGCATAGATAGGGTAAGAGAAATAGCTAAAATGTGGCAAAAGTATTTATTGAGAACAGGCATGGGCACCATTTTGTTTTTCATGTAATAAACTGGAACTAGATTATATTCTTAATTTGTGCAACAATGTGAGCAAAAAGAAACCACCCTCTTATCTGACAAGTGAAATGTCTCATCCTCTTTATCAAAAATGTGAGCTTTAAAGAAGTACTAACATTTCTTTAATATAAGTAGTTTAACTCACACTAGCACTAACTTCCTCTCCAAATAAAAAACAAAATTAATTTCACCAATTTAAGCCACTCCTTATTCTTCTCTTACCTCACTGTATTCCTGCACATCATCTCTGAGGTCCTCAAGTTCTTCTTTTTCCTTTGTTAGAGATTTCTTCTGTTCCTTCAGTTTGGTACAAGCATCATTTAGCAAGTCAATTTCTTCTTTGGTTATTTCTTCACCCTGAGGCAAAGGGAAATAAACAAACTGCTAGAGGAAGAAGAAAGGCAGAAATATTTTCCCCAATAAATTGTTCAAGTTTATTTTGCTTTTAATAACCTCCCTACTCCCATATCCATATTGAATAGTATAGTGTGTGTATATATATATGTGCCTTCAAGTTGCCTGTTGACTTATCGTGACCCCATGATTGTCCCAGGGTTTTCTTAAACAAGAAAGTGGTTTTGCCACTTACCTACCTTGGAATGCAGGCTACCGTTCTTGACATTTGTGGCAAGTCTGCAATCCAAGTACTGACCCCACTTTCAAGAACAAATTTGATCTGGTTCTTTCAGTACCTAGAATACCACGAAGGGGCTCACTTCCTCCAGATGTTCATATCTATTTCATGCTTGAGCTATTTGCCCTTTAGATATTCTGGAAGTCCACCTACTCTCTGCTTGTCTGGATGGCTTGTAATATTTGGGGAACTATGATAAATAAATTACTAGTTCTACAAATCTTTGAAATAAATAGCAATGTGGAAAAGTACACTATCACAAGTGCCAAGGCAAAACATTAATCTGGCAGAGTGAGGAAGTGAATTCTGCATACTGAATGCAGCCCCGAAGGACTGGTGTGAGCACTGGAGTGATCCAAAAGATTATTTTACAAAAAAACACTGAAATTTGACCAGGCAAATATGGCAATCTGCCAACATCCATGGACCTGTGGATAATCACCAGTTCTGAGTTATCCCGGATGGGTAATAGCATTTTTCCAGGCAACGAAAAAACAGAGGTTTTCATGAAAAACCAGTTCTGCCTCTGGTGTCCTTCAAAGACATTGCTTTTATATCAGTAAGCACAGAAGAATTGGGGGTAAGAAAAACACCCACCCCTAGCATGGCGGCTGTAATGCACAGCAAAAGGAATGTTGAATTGTCATTTTAAAAGAGTATTTTAATGAATATATTATCTTGTGATTCACCCCTGGATGTTGGATAATTAACTTCTCCTTGACATTCAACTTACGCTCTTGAGACAAGAGTTATCTAAATCTCTTATCTGAAACTACATGGAATGCAAGTAGAAACAGCTGTTGTCAACTCCCCCAGAGACCTAATTGACTTTTAAAAAATCTTTTTAAAGAAACACCAAGATAAATAAATTTTGTATTGGGGCTTGATTGTAACATCTAAAAATATTCACACCCATCAAAGGGTAAATGTTTTGCTTTTCCTCAAAGCCATAACAAAGGAACTTTCCCAGGACAAAAAAACAGAAAGTAAATATCTGAATGCTTCCCCTTTTGCCTAGAAACAGCAGCATCAGCAACAGCTACAAAAAAAAATGAAGAAAGGAAGAAAGTGTATTTTACTTTGTGTTCAGATACATCAATAACTTTAAGGCAAAATGCCTATGGAAGGCACATTGACATAGTACGTGGAACCAGTTGGATTAAACTAAATTTTGGTAGAATAGAGAATTACAAGAAAAAAATTAACAGCCGAATTGAAAGAAATACTCTGGCAAAGCTGACTGGAGAGCCAATTCAGTCAAGCCAAAATTTGGTGAAATCCAAAACCCAGCAGCAAACAGCAAGACTGGAGAAACTTCTCCTGGAAGGCTTCAGCAAACAGATTGATAAGAACTATCAACAGGCCTGGCTTGAGGCCAAACAAGAAAATCCACACAGTGGCTAATTTCATAAGATGGTACGTTTGTGATTGAGTCATGCTGAAAGACTGCTGTCATTAGAACATCCATATGCAACTAAAGAGAAGTGAAGAAGAGGTGGCGGCTCTCCCATATAGAAAAATGGAATCAAAAAGAAATGTCTAGAGTCTATAATGATGGCTAAAAAAGATTTGTGAAATAATTAAGATCAATAATTGATGGGGCAAAGTATTTGTCTAGCTTCAAGAATGGGGATTTAGCCATTCAAAAACATGCAAATGTGAGCAGATCTATAGATACCATTCTGGCGGGGAGGTAACGGCGCTCCATGCAGTCATGCTGGCCACATGACCTTGGAAGTGTCTACACTGTCTCTTCAACTTATAAATGGAGATGAGCACCAACCCAGAGTCAGACATGACTAGACTTAATGTCAAGGGGTAACCTTTACCTTTACCTTACCTTTACCTTTACCTTATAAGACAGGGGGATTGATTAATTGTAGGATTTATGAGTTAGTAATATGTTACTAAGCGCAGAAGTGTGATTATATAATATTTACTAAAGAGAGTAGAACAGTCCGAACCGAAAAAAACCAGAGTGTGAGAGGAGGGTAGATTCAACTTTACATAAGTAGTTTCACTTTTGTATGTACTTTTTGTTTATTTATTTGGTTTAGTGGTTTTGTCAGCTGTTGTAGGTTAAAAAATGCTTGTTTTTTGTGTTTGATATAATTTGTTTCTTTGCATATGCCTTTGTTTGTTTGTATGGTGGTATGTTTGTTTATTTGAATATGAATTAATTAAAAAAATTGGAAATATTTTGAGGGGCTGCAAGAGAGCAATTTTACCATTTGGGGGAGGGTGAGAGAAGCTCTTCCAACACAATGGTTGCTCACCCTGTCACAGGGTTATGTGGTACATCATTCAGATGTGTATCAACCAAAAGGCTGTAAGACACTTTATGACATTGGAGAATGATCAGAATAGATAATCTGCTCGTTTTCCAAACAAACTGTTTTACAATTTCCTCTACACAGTTTAAAAAATCCAGTCCTTAGTGCTTTAGAAATAGAAGGTGGATTCCTAACCTTAATGAAAAGGCACCATTGCCATGTTTCAAACTTTGCAGCATGAAAACAAGAACAACTAATAAATAAAGGTCAGCATTATTGAGTTGCTTCTACACAACATGTATATTTCTAAAAGCTGCATATTCTAGTGGCAGCCAGCTTTAGAGGCAGTAGGGCGGGGAAGGGGAGATGTACCACAAGTTAAGTAAAAGCAGTTACCTGGGACATCTTTTATGGCAAAGCCAAATTTGCAGTATCTTCCTATTCAACAGTATCACAATATTGGTTACTCATGATAATACACAGGGAGTGGACAAAGTGTGGTCTTGGAGCTGCATAAATGCTACACCCCAAATGTTTTCACAAGTCTCAACTCTCCCCAAACTCTCTGGACTTTTCTGTGCATAAAAAGGGTGGATTTCCTGGACTGAAAGCATTGAGAAGATGAAATTCATCTTTCAAATAAAAATACAGCCTGCCTCGCATTATTAAAAAAGCCTTTCAAAACCAGAAGTCAACTTTCAATCCAGTTTTTGCCTTTTTCTAATACCTCATACCTACATATTTTACTATCTATGTGGTGTCCAAGAAAATTGAATCTGGATTTGCCACAACTGCTCATCCCCACAGTGCCCTACACAAAAATGCTGCTGCTGTAAGACCACTACTTTGCTTAGGGAAGAACTATACTGAATAATATATATGATCTGCAGAGATAAATCATATATATAGTTTTATATCGATTTTAAAAGGTAACAAAAACTTGATAAAAACTCATATAGATCTTTGAGAACAGAAATACTCCATGTTTTCTGTCAAATACCATTACAAGATTATTGCTCAGTCTCTAGACATTAAATTCAAAAAATGTGTAGTTCCATTACTATTCGAACAATTAAGTGAGCAAATTGAAATTCGACCTCATGACCGTTGTCCTATGGGGTCCTGCAGGGCTCAGTATTGTCCCCCATGTTGTTTAATATCTACATGAAGCTGCTGGGAGTGATCATCTAGAGTTTTGGAGGTCATCAGTATGCAGATGATACCCTACTCTGTTACTCTTTTCCACCAAAAGCTAAGGAAGCAGCCCAGACCCTGAATTGGTGCTGCTCACCTGTTGTGGACTGGATGAGGACGAACATAAAAAGGAAAATCAGCCTATTAACCAAATCTTAAAAATGCTGATTTATTATCAGTAAATGTTTGATTTTTACACCTATTTTACAAACCTATACATAAACATTTATTGGGCAAAAAGGTTTGTGAGTGGAAAAGTTTAAGAAGTCCTGCTCTTGGAAATGTTCAACCAACAAGATCACAAGTAGAAACTGTCATCCAAAGGACCTTTCCATCAGCCACCCCTAGACTTTGAAATGACCTGACAGAAAAGATTTGGCAGCTAAATAAGCTGTTAGAATTTAAAATACAATTAAAGACCTGACTTTTCCAGGCGGCCTACCAATCAGTTTTAAACTTTGAATTTTAAATTCACATTTAATTAGTATTGGTGTTATAATCTTTGTTCAATGTTTTAATGTTTTTAATGCATGTATTTTATGGTCCTTGTTTCATCTATGTATTATAACTATGTTGTGCCCTGTCTTGAGCCAAGAGGAAAGACAGGTAGCAAATTAAATTATTATTATTATTATTATTTAGAATTCATAGGGCAGCATATCTTATTTTCACCCCTACACATTATTCACCTTAATGCCTTCCAATACTGGAGCTGTATCTTTCAGTGTCTCTGAATGCAGTGTTAAATCCACCTTTGCCAGCTCTTGCTCAGCTTCAATATCTATCTGGCTTTTTTTTATATGCATGGCAGAAGCATCAAGATCTATTGTGGACTCCACCTCTTTCTGAAAGATCAACAAAAATAACACAGAAAGCAAACAGATTTTAAATTATCATCCATAGTTTCTTCTTAGAAACTTTAGTTGTAACAAGGAGAAAGTAATGAAGCTCTTTGGCAGGACAGCGATGGAAAGGCAAAGAGACAGCGGATAGAGTGGAACGAGAAAGGACTGAAATGTTGATGCTCTTTAGCAGGCCAGCAATGGAGAGGCAAAGAGAAAGCAGAAAGAGTGGAATTAGAAGACCGAACTAGTAAAGCAGCAGCTAAATAATGAACTCGCAAATAATGAACTCACAAACAAAAAAGAAACCTGTGAATATAGCTAGCTGACTGTACGGAGTTGTTTTCTGTAGTGGACAGAGACATTCTTAAGATTGGTGGTCCCTCCCTCTTATTTCTACTGCAGGAAATTCAGCCAAATAGGTTTAAGGTACTCTCTTTATTGGAAGATCTATTTTCAGAAAAACCTCAGCTGAAGAGAAGACACAGTCCACCCAAAAACGGATCCACTCCCAACAGAGGAAAAGGGGAATAGAATGAGAGAGAAAATACGTGCCAGGTCTCCGCTCCAGAGATGGCCAGGCAACAGTAGAGGGCAGTATATCTTCCTACCACTACAGAAAACAACCAAATTATGGACATTTTTCCTTTAGCAGAGATAGAGATCTTTCAAATAGGATGTATTATAGCTAGAAAAACAAGTAGGGAAGGTTGGTGTTGCACTTCCCACCAAGAGTAGCTCATAGGGAACTTGGGCTAGTGGGGCAGCTTAGATATTAACAATTCATTGGAGCATCGGTCTTCCAAAAGTGGCATCAGACAATACATAAAAACCCTTTCCCCCAGAAAGCACCTCTTTCTCCTCCTAAGATAGAACTGAAGGATGAAGTAGCTCATCCCCTACTCGTTTGAGAGGTAGGAGCGGGGGGGGGGGGGGTAAGACTTTCTTCTTTGTGAGAAGGGAAGAAATATTGTGTCAAGAAAAGGACAAACCACTGTTTCGCATTCCTTCTTCAATAAACCATCTGTCCTTACCCTGCCCACAAAGTACATCTATTACCGAGCCAATGGGGAAATGGCAGAAAGGCAAGAGAAAGGAAAAAAGAAGCAAAAAAGCGAAGAGATAGAAATGACATTTGTTTTTTAATTGCCAGAGAAAGAGAAAGAGAAAGAGAAAGAGAAAAAGGAGTTGGTTGCAGAAGCAAGGACAAATGAGCAACAAAGCACAGGTAGAAAAACAAACAGGACTTTCTGAGATTGTTTTCCTACTAGTGGCGGGATAAACCATCTCAAGGATAACTCCCTCCATGGCAACAAAATTTCCACAATTCTCATCTCTAGCAGATGAGTAAGAAGGCACTTTGTTTTGCCAGCAACCTAGAACTCTCTCTAAGACAAAGAAAGTGAAACGGTTGATCTTTTCACAAATGACAAATCTGATTCTTCTCCTGTTACATATGCTATCAACACAAGCTTACTTATATTTAATATTATTTGCAGGATTTCTCTCTTGGCAAGATGCCCATAACAAAAATCACAGAAAGGAAAGCATACTGAAGGCCTTGTTGGTCTGCTGGAATGGAGTTCCCCCTTTCACAAATGGAAAAATCTCTATGTGATTTCTGGGAGGAAAAAAATAAACACAGAGCAAAACATAAACTCATATGGACTCCTTTTGAAATTGCCTACCCTCTCAGCAACTTGAAGGGTCTCTTTAGCTTTCTCGGCTGCATCTGAAAGCCTTTCCAATTCCTTTTCTTGGTTTTCTTTCTTAATAGCTTCTTCCTCCTGAAGGGTTGCTTCCAGTCTAGCTTTATTGTCTACCTTTTCTCCTTCCACTTCTGCTGCTTTCACCTGGGCTTCTTTGGCCTTAAAAAGAAATTGCACATCACTTTCAATTTTGACACCATGGTATTGCAAGTTTAACAAAAACTATCATTATGCTGGCAGATCAACCCGTCAATGTCTTCACTTTACACAGTAGAAATGTTCCAGTTAATGCAGTACCAATCACTTTTCTAGAAGTTTAAAGAAATTGGTATTCCTATTCTGTAAATGCATGCAAATGCTCAGAAGGAAAAATAAACAGCAAAAACATTTTTTAACTTTTTCGACTCCAAATCGTATTAAAACAGTACCCCCAAGGCTGTTTTTAAAATCTACTCCAGATTCCCTGGGAAACACGTTTTTAATTAGTAAGAATGAACCACTTTTACTTGAAACATGAAGAAACGACGATTAATCTTTAAGGAGGTTGTAGATTCTTTCTTAATATTAAAAAAGCCCATTTAAAAAAATGACAATTAGACTTCTGCCTGCCTCCAGCATTTTGGGATGGAGACATTTGTTAATCCATATGCTCAAAGTGAAAAGAATGTTAAGAAACAAGCAAGTTCTTCAAAAATATCAGTACAAGTTAGATAAATCATGACATACCACACTCTCAGGTAGTGTTTGCAGAGTTGTTTTGAGTTGGTCAGCTGGTGACAGCGTATCTGGAAGGTACATAGCTCTGGATAAAATAAGCAATGAGGTTGGGATTTCTTGATTCAGATGCAAATCTAACCACTGCAATTAAAAGATAAAACAAAATGTAAGACCAGTACATTCCTCTACATTCAACAACACAATTAAATCAAGTTAAACAAAACACTTTAATAACTTCTGATTACACATGTGATCTGTGAGTGGTGATGCCTAAATATTCTAAAAGCTGATCTGAGAGTCTGGTTGGAAGCCCATAACAAGCCTGGTCAGTACCTGGCTTGGGGGGGGGGGTCTATCAAGTGATGTAAGTTGTATTTCTGAAGAAGGAAATGGCAAACCACATCTTCCTTGCCTAAGAAAACTCTATGAAATCTTTGTAGACACTGTAAGTTAATTGCCCACATGAAGGTACAGACAGACATATAAAGAGCAGGAGAACAAATAAAGGGCAGAGCCATTACAAAACATTCCTTCTGACTTACGGAAATGTAATGGACATGTCAACCTGTTCTCCTTTGTATTAACATTGGATTTTGCTTTTAGGAATATTGTATTAGGAAGCTGGGGCTGAAGCTTCTGCATCAAGCACTGCACTTGCTATCCTTATTCCTTCCTGAAATTATGTTTGCTAATTACTAAAAACACTCTCATTGGTCTAATTTGCATTTGAATCAACAAAGTATTGTCAGATCTCCCAACAAACTATGATCTATTAACCTAAGATACTGACTACGTCCTGGAAATGTGGCTACATTTTCTCAATGATCCTGATTATACCAAACTGTTGAGATTTGAAAAGTTTTAAAGTCTGATTTGGTCCCTTACTGCACTACTAAGCCTTCCGTATTATTTTTCTTTCTGATTACCATTATGAAAGCAGGTGATACACTCTGCTTGCTGTTAGAAATAAACCAGTAAGACTGCCCCACTAGTATATTGATGGCACTAACTCTATCTGTCCTTCCCATCTAATTCCAAGGGAGTTTCAGTACTAAATCAGTGTTTGATTCCAATGATGTACTGGATGAAGGCAAACAAACTTAATCTTAAACAAGACAAGAGAAACATTTTTGACTAATCAAAAGCTACATCAGGGGACTGGGGTTGTTTGTGCTGGATGGGATTACACTCTCCCTTAAAACTCGGCGTCGCAGCTTGGTGTATTACTGGATTCAAATCTGAGTCTGGATGCTCAGGTTTGAGTAGTGGCCAGGAGCACATTTACACCGTTAAAACTATTGCATTAATCATGCCTGTTCCTGGAGATGTCAGGCCTGGCTATAGTGACAGATGCCTTCAATTACATTCATTTTGGATTACTGTAACACAGCCTCTAAGAGGCTGCCTTTGGAAATCTCTTGGAAACTACAAAATGCTGTGGCCAGAGTGCTGAACAGGACTGTTTATGGGAACAAATAATCTCCAAGCTGTAATAATTTATTGATTCTCAATGCAGTACCTCTTTTGCTAAGGACAGTTCCCAGTTTTTAAAGGATTTGTAACTTTATACCAAATTTTACACTGTGAATTATTATGAGTTTAAAAATTGCACAATGCATTAGCCATATAAATTTTAAGGCAATGCCAAGAGAATAAATCCATCCCATAAATAGGGGAAAGAAATCAACCCCAAAACTTGGGTTAACCTATCCATGGATCAATGTAAGTACTTTACCTTAGCTCTTATTTAAAAAGAAATCTGTTCCTTCTGTGAACAAGATGAAAAGGTAAGAACTTAATCCTTTCTTGGAGAACCAAACAGAAGCACCGATCTCTTCTAATCTCTCCACCACGGTGCCACATCAGGTGCTTTGGAATGCCTGGGTGCGGAAGTGGTAGTGGCAGCCAGGGATGGCTGGCCCCATGAGCTAGCATCGGTGCTTTCCACTTTCCATGGAACGGACCTCAATTTATCTAATGGTCATATCAAAATCCCTAATTTTAGTCCCTCAAACCTGCCCTCACCATATATATATAAGGGGTTGACTGATACAAGAATATATATGATAAGTTGCACTATGCCCATTTTTCCTACTAGTAATGCATTCACCGAGGGCCAGTATTATACAATGTACACAATGAATTGTTCAGGGCTCATAATAACCCTAGCTGATCAGTACCTGCTTAAGCTGCTCCTTTAAACGATCTTCTGTTACGCCAAGTGCTCTCATACCTCTTGCTCGACAAGCTGCTTGTAGCTCTTTAACTGTTAGGCTATCCACATCTTCCTCAGCTATCAGCTAGATAGGACACAAAATCAGTATTTATACCAATTAGAATAAAATGTGTTTCTTAAAAAATGCAATTCTCATAAGAAACTACTATGAAAAACAAGGCATAAAATAGGATGAAAATTTCCAAGGAGCAGAAAAACACATTTAACACAACATTACAAACCCTAGACCTAAATTGTTGTATTGAATTTGTAATGCACTCTTAACATTATTTGTAGATGACAATTGAATGGCATTCTATTAGTAGTTGCCTTGTTCAAGAATAAAGTGCTTCTGTAATTCCTGTACAGGTAGGATCCATTCGTTTGGGATTCATCAAGCTAACAACGGTTGTATGTTGCCCTCTGAGAAGTACATCTCTTCCTTTTCCATTGGATTAAAGATAGAGTACACAAAGAAAAATTAATATGTGAGGAATTAATGGTAGTTTACAAGATCAAGGAGTATCAATTGTCTTGAAGAGCTATCAAGCAATGGCAGAATACTGTTTTACATTATAATATCTTCTGTTCTCCGAGATTTTCCATCTAGAAGGGAATCACATGGCCTTCTAGAATTCTTATCTAGCATTTCTCACTACTGGCAATGCTGGTTTGGGCTGCTGTGACTTGCAGTCTAATAGCATCTGGAGAACGTACACAATTTTTACCCCTGACCTAGAAAGATTGCAGGCAGCAAGACTTGTACTTGAGATCTTGAAGATAGATCAGAAGAGCTCAGTTAACCAATGGTGTGACTAAGGCAGTCTTGATATACCCAACTATCTCAAAAAAGGAAAGAGCTGGAAATCTTACAGAAGGCAAACAGGACTGTCAATGGTAAAGATCACCTTATGCAAAAGGGAAGGCTGCAGCATTTTTTGAATTAGAATCTTACTTTATCATCTGCTCTGATAGATCTCAGCTTCATTATAAGCTGGAAGCGAAGAAAGTTATTGGTCCCAATTGACTGAAGTTCTAGCAATTTGCAGAGAGCAACAAGCTGAGGTCTTGTAAGATTATCAAGGGTTAATTCATCTTCAAATAGTTTAGAGAAACGTAAAATTTCTTCATTGCTTGGTCTTTCACCAGTTTCTCGGATCTGAGAAATAGAAAAGGCATTTTATTTGAAAAAATAACTGTTTCTACAACTTTTGTCCAAAACAAAATTTGATGGAATGGAGAGTGGTATTGGGGATACTAGCCTATGTTACTTGGGATCCAAGGCAGTTTCAGCTTTCTTTAAAAACCACTGTTTACAATGAATAGAAAAGTTTGAAAGCTTGCAGATACTTTTTGAAAAAGCATTCAATATTCTGCCTAAAAGTATATAAGATACAAACTCTAACTAAATGTTTTAACATCAATACATAATCAGTGGGAGAGATGATTTACTGTTTACTATGGAGGTCAGTCAGCATTTTGAGTATTTTGGGATGCCCATCAAAACATCTTTCTACAGGATCCTGGGATCCCTTACACCATTGCCCCAGAAAAACACCACTCCATGAAGTACCTTGTGTTTTCCACAACACTGAAAGCAGTCTTGATCTAGAGAATCATGATTCTTTCAGGTTTTAGAAATTTGTTCAGAGAGAATGGAAATTCTCTGATGTTTCAAGTTCATGAACAAAACAATAACTCCAGGTGTTGACCGTACTCATTTCTAGATATGATGTTCTAATCTTGAAAAAAGAATGACTTCAAACCAGAGGGATGGTCCATTCATTGCTCTCCAGGTATTGGTTGACTCCAATTCCTATCAGTCCATACCTTTAGCTATGTTGGTTAGGGCTGATAGGACCTTGAGTTTTACATCACCTGGAGGGTCATAAATAAGCCAGTTTGGGCATAGCCATAGACAAAAACTCTTGGTGTTGAAAGACCTAGTGCTGAGTTTCTTAGAAATCTGTGCTGAAACCAGTTTAACTGAACAGCCACAGGATTTATCCAATGCATAGTTTCTTGCTTTAGGACAGCGTTTCTCAATCTGGAGGGGTGGGACTCCTGGGGGGGGTCACGAGGGGGTTTCAGAGAGGTCGCCAAAGACCATCAGAAAGCATATTTCTGATGGTCTTAGGAACCCCTTTGGCAGAGAAAGCTGAAGATCTATTTATATTCATACATTACTCCTTAGCTATCTTTTGCACCTAAAATGCAGAAATACAATACATACATTAAATTAGTAAGGTAAGCAAAACATTTTTTTTTACCTTTTGAAAGAAGGTTGAAAAATCTTTTGTTGCATTCCCTTTGGCAGCTTTATTTTTTAAGGCTATCTCTTCTATGGTATCTTGAAGAAATTTAGCCACTTCAAGCTTTACTCTTAGTTCTTTCTTCAATCTTTCTTCCTACAAAGAAAAAATATATATTTGCGTAGATCTGCTTTGAATATGAACTAAAAGTCATGATGGTCAACTTTGCTGGAGCAAAGAGCGCAATTTCTAAACCACAAGAGAGAATGTGATGTTCTTCCTATCACATCTAATCATCATCCTTCTGTGCTTAAAATCCTGGAAGACATCCTGGAAGAGTCCTCTAGTTCTATAAGATACGGTGCCACAAACTTCTGGAAACACAGAATTTGCTGCTGGGAGAGAAAGTGACCACTTTAAAAATACAATTAAATTGTTTAAAATTCATCATGAAAGGCTGTTTTCAGTTTGAAAAGTGGAGCATGGAGTTGAGGATATTAGTGGTAAAAAACATATCACCATTTAATTGGAAGCTTCCAGTGATGGCTTAATCTGCAAACAATATCAGATGTATTCAACCCAGTAAGTGTCAAGTAAAATAATCTGCATAACTTTCCACAAATTAATTGCTATCTTTCTTTACTCCTAAATGAGATTTAAAGCAGATTATTTATTTATTTATTTATTTATTTATTTATTACTGTGCTTATATACCGCCGTTTCTCAGCCTAAATCGGCGACTCAACGCGGTTTACAACACAATCAACGCGGTTTACAACACAAGATTACAGTTTAAAGCAAAACAGAACAATTAACAGTATCAAGTACAAATATTTTTAAAGCATTTAAACGGTGTTGTTATGTGCTTTCCTGTCATAGTGATCCTATTATGGGCTTTTCTCTGTAATATTTGTTCAGAGGACAGTTTGCCTTTCTCTGAGGCTGAGAGTGTGTGACTTGCCCAGGGTCACACAGTAGGTTTTTACGCTGAGTAAGGATTTAAATCCTAATGTCCAGAATTGTAGTCTAATCAATGCACAGACCACTGCACTACCTTCAATTAATACTATATTTTTTAAAACATTAAAATTAAAACAATTTAAAAGTACAAAGTTTGCAGCAATACATGTTGAAAATGTAATGATAAAGAGGGAAACTTTTATCATATGTGGCAAACACATGGCAAGGCAAACAATTCTGAATTCAAATACATTGATGGAGGATACTTTGAAGTTGAAGGTTCATTTGAAATCAGATTGTTTTAAAAATTCGGATTGATGGGTGATCGGTTTAAGAAAAAGTGTGGAAGAATTTTCCAATATATGACCACAACTGCCAGACTGCTTTCTGTGCAGAAGTGTAATGATACTGTCATTCCATTATAAAAAGGCTAGCTGGTGAAACTAAATGACTAGGCTGAGATGGGCAAAACGACTGTTGTGATCAAACACAAATCATTACAAACTTTTCAAAAAGATTAGCAACTAGTAAATGTATTTTTGAGAAACTACTGGAGAAAAAAATATGGGTATTGGGGTTTTGAGAACTGTAGTTATCACAAATATGTAGAACATATGAATAGTGTAAATAAGACAAGTGGGCAATTATTACCAGGTGTCTTATTCCCTCCTCCTTTTGTTAATTGTATTTGTGTACTGTAGTTGCGTGTAGAGCAATTTAGTTATTTGCTGTTGCAATTTGAGTAGTTATTTTGTTGTATATTTCTCCTTGCATGTTGTTTTACAGGAATCTTTGTTGTTTAATAATATATTAAAATATTTATCGGTTTTATACTAGTTTATGCAATGCTTTTGATACGAAATAAAAAATATTTAAGATCAGAAATAATTCATCACAAAAAATGAAATAATTAAAAGTCTTATAATATGTAATGCACTGGGTGGGAATTCCAAACCCTTGAAATAACCATCAAGAAAGTTCTCTCCCATGTCTTTAACTGAGGTGGAGTGAAAAGAAAGCCCTGCCCCAAAGATTTCAAATCAATATGCTATGGAAGGATACTGGATTTCAAGCAATCTGGACCTGGGCCAAATAGGAAAAGTCACCGTGGACCAGCTGTTTGGGTGTTGGAATAAGACATTCACCAGAGTTTTAATGTTAATGGGAGGATAAATACTAAGGCTGAAACTCAGAACACCCAAAAGGTATCACACTGTTAAGCTACATTGCAATTACCTTCTTAGACTTTGTCTCAAATGTTGAGGGAAGCATACCAGGGAACAGCTTTAAGGCTACGGGAAGCAGGAATTCCATGAATGGAACAACAACAAAGACGAGGAAAGGAACCAATCGGAAAAGATCAGCGCATATACGAAGAAACTGTAAATAAGCACATAGGAAAATTACTGTATTACAACAGAAAAAGTCAATGGAACAGCCATTGTACTGCAAGTACAAAAAAAGAGCATACATGACCTGCTCCGCATGAGATTAACAAAGAAAAGTTTGTCCGCTTCTTACAGCTTAATAGACAGTACAGACAGATACCATTAACTGGCTTTGTCTTATATAGCTGCAATCTTCTTCATCCTCAAATAGATGGCCAAAATCATCTGATTTTGGCAAGATTACTTAGGTTTTTAAATATGTATCTTATAACAATCTGAACTAAGCATAGTATACATTTTATGAATAAACTTGATTAACATTAAATCTCATTATAAAGATTCAATCTCATTTTCAACAGGAAGTGACAGGAAATCTACCCCTGGGAATGAAAATTCACTCCTATAAGAGTTATCATGGGTAAAAGGTGTCTCCACTGAAGCTTTATCACCAATCCTACTTTGCACAATTACCCAGACTTTGCAAAATCCAGTTGTCACAGGGACACAAAGCGAGGTGAAATCTTCTGAGCAGGAGAAGAGACAGCAAAACAAATGTTACAGGGGTGTTAACCCTTCCATTTGCTATGCAAAACTAACAAAATATATATGAAGGTGAATCCAAAAATTAATGTCATAAATTTAATACCTGTCTTCGTTCTCGCCGAGATAAAGTGTTGCCATGAAGAATTTGCCAGAGCATCCTTGCAGCAATCTTTGTATCAATCCATAGCAACCGAAAGCCATGATAATAATGTTTTAGTTCATCAACAATCCTCTGTCCAAGTGATTTTTTGACTATATTTTCTTCTACAGTTGGACTATATACAGGTCCTCCTTCTTCCAATTTCTTATTTTTATCCTTGAGGGACTTCAAGGATTTTTCTATCATAGAGTCATCATAACAAGGTTGTGAAGAATGCCACTTCCGTACTGGAAGATAGTGACACCCCCAAATTAAGGAAGAAGTGACAGTGCCACTATTAGGGGACAGTGACGACAAGTCAAGTGCTCTCAGTGCTGTAAAGTTCCTTTTTTCTGGTCCTTCAGTTCCAGTATAACCATTCCTTGAAGAGCAAATGTAAACAGGGGAGATACTAGTGCAATATTTAAAATGAGCATTCCTGCAAAAGAATATGATATTTTAGTATTTGTAATGCATTTACTTCACCAATCTAGCTTCATCCTAATGTGGCAAGTTACACTAGACTGAAACAGTAACTTTACCAAGGACTATATAAAAAGATTTGTATGACTTGAGAAGACATTTGAGTCTCATGTACTGAAATTCAAGACTATTCACTTCACTTCACTTTATTTCTTAATTAGTCGCTCTCCACCAAGGTGCTCCGAGCGACTTACAATCTAAAATAGCATTTACACAATATAAAAACATTCCCCAGACTTTTCACTGCACCATACTGACTGACACAAAGTTTATAATAGATTTGAACATCAGATTATCATTGCCAAATACTTATTATATATCTGTCTTAAAGCTGTGTTCTGCAACAATCGTCATAACAGAATTCATTGCAAAAACTTTCTGTAACAAGCACACACAACTGTCTGTAGAAAACTGCAGTGACTTTTACGAAAACTCCAGCAACGGGGATTCACTCTCGCTATAGACTACAGTCCAGTTTTGAGGTATGTGCTATTTTCAACAATTAAAAAAACTTAAGACATGTCCATACTTCTCTGAAGCCTGCACTTCTGCTAGTGGAATAATGGCACCTCTTGTCCTTTTGCACAAAGCTAATGCTGGTTACAGCTCTCATTCTTCTGTCTATTAACTAGAGGGTAAAGAACAGACCTTTGCCTATCTATTCCTTGCTATCCTTATTCATTTGTTGTTACTGATCTTCAACAAAAATTAAGGTTCCTTTCACCTTTAAGAAGAGAGGAGTCTTTTTTCTTCCTGAGATAAAGATCACCTCACTGCTATTATTATTATTATTATTATTATTATTATTATTATTATTATTATTCCCCGCTTTATCTCCCCAAAAGGGACTCAAAGCAGCTTGGCATAAAAGCATTATCACAGAATTTAAAATATATAAATATACAAAAATCAAAACAGAATTAAACACAAACAGAAGTTTAAAAATCAGTTAAAATCCCTGGGCATTAAGTTCCAGGGACACTTGTGGAAAATTCAACATATCTATTTCTAATCAGCTATAACCAACTAGGCCTTTAAAGACAGCTGATAGTTAAACCCTCCTTAAATGCCTCTAGCAGTAGATGGTATTACCAGAATAGGAAACTACCTTATCATCAACAATGATCTTATGAATATGTTTGCTTACGTGTGATTAGTTAGCCTCAGGGATGTACAGCCAAAACAAGCATGGTTTTCCAAGTGACCTAGAAATCAAAAAGAAAAGTCGGAATGGAGTCCATCACTACATAATATATTTTGCCTTTTAGCTTTGCTCAGATGCTACTTCGTTAATGAAAGCATAAATCATACAGCAGAAACGGATTTGGTTGAAGCAAAAAATGGAAGAGACTACACAGATTAAATCAATATAAGATCCACAATCCAATAATATTAATAAATTATGAACAATTCTGCAAATTCCAATTATACAACTGCTTTTAAATTCTAATGCTGTTACTTCCCTGGAAACTACTTAAGAACTTCAAGATGAGCTTAGTAATTGTATTTCAAGTAGATGTTACATACAACAAACGCACAATAAAACCAAAAGATTGAATAAATCACAAACTGAAATCAGAATGAAGTATTGTAAAAATGTAAAATGTATTGCATTAAAAATATGAGCCAACTGGACAAGAATAAGACTAGATTAGAAGATTATATTCAAAGTTGCAATTCCTCATACATCATGTCTCACATGGAACTTGATATGGAAACCACATTCACGTGCAAAACATGGATATTATTTTTTCAAAGGAAGCTTTCAGCTTTAACCATTAACAGTTAACCATTTTTTGAAGGATAAAGCTGCTATGTCTAAATAAACAAGCCGGTATATCATGCTCAACATATTTCCCCGCTTGATACACAGTCATTTGAGGATTGGCCAAAATATTCCTTGCTAATTAACAAAGAAGAAGCAACAACAACGTTGGGGAAATGTCTAGTTCTATAAAATCGAAACAAAAGGTTGAGCCTAAAGCATCTAAATGAAAAAAAAATCACATAATTTATTCTAAATGTTATTTTGATTTCTTGGAAATTAAGTTGCCCTTTCCAACTCAATCTTTCTAGCTAGTATTCTAGAAGCTATTGTGTTAACATTCACTAAATGAAACTGAACAATTTATTTGAACGTGCCATGGAAACATTTTTCTTATATTGTCACTGAAGTTGGATCAGAAAATCCATCCATAGAAAACAGCCTATGGTTTTCACTGGATGTGTCTCAAGTAAATTCTGTTTTGCATTTTCTAGCTGCACATGTTTAGAACTGGGTCTTACTTTATCCTGAAAAAAAACCCCTGTGTAATTCAATCACTTATAAATGTGATGATATAATCATTTCTTCAAGGAGAAACACTGATAATGATAAGAATATGGCAATTTGGGATATTTTCTCTTTTGGGATAGGAAAGATTTTCAAATACAAAGTTTTACCCAATCAAAATACATTAAAACATGAAGCTTTTTGTGTCTATCATCAGTGTTTGAAAATAGCATTACACAGCACTCTGATCCAAGGGAGATTTCTGCAACTAGAAGGTGCTTTCATCTTCATGAGATAAACATGCAAATACTTTGTGGAATATGTATTGATCTGTGATTTAACTGAGAAATGGTAAAAAGCAAGTTGCTATTTTTCTTACTCTTTTCCTTTTCTGAAACAGAAGTGCTTCCCTGCCACCTTCAGTTAAAGATTATTTGAGAAAGGGCTCACTACAAGCGCTCATACATGTACATACTGTAGACGAGAGGTTTTCCACACAAGGAAAGACTCCGATTTGGGAAGGGCAAGTTTTAAGAGTTTTAGGGCCGTTTCTGATTTCTCCTCAACCTTAACAGAGCCAGAGATCTCCCAGCTCTGAAGACATAACCCCCAAATGGCAAACTGTACTCTCATAGATATGTAAATTACCACTTAAATATAAAAATATTAACACTATGGCAGATAAATGATTTTAGGCCAGAAATAAAAAGAGAACTGCCGTTTCTCATGGCATACCTTAGAGCAGTGGTTGCCAACCTTTTTTTTTTGACCACGGACAACTTTGACCAGAGACCACTCTCTGACATTAGTACCAAAGAAGTTATGGATCGTTTTTTGGTAAACTTTAGATTCGGTTTGGTTATTTGGGATGCCGATTCAGAAAATTGCATTGGATAGAATACATCAGCTCTAGTTTTTGATACGGAACATATGCCATCCAGTAGTTGCAACAGTGTAGTAACGGTGAGGCCATGGACCATATTTTAGTTCTTGGGGACCATTGGTGGTCTAGGGACCACAGGTTGGGAACCACTGCCTTAGAGCTTTCCAAACATGGGTTATTTTGTGACGGAGTAATTCACTTTAGGAATGACAGGGCTGCCACTTGGTGGTGCTGAAGGTTTGCTAATATAGGCTGACTCCAAACATCTGACTTACAAACAGGGTGAGACAACAGGAAGTAAGAGAAATCTACCCCTCCGAAAAGAAATTCACTCCTGAAAGAGCATGGGGGAAAGGTGTCTCCGATGCAGCTTTATCATCAATCTTTGTTACCACAACAAGCCAAATCTTTCAAAATCCAGTTATCACAGGCACAGAAACTAAGGTGAAACATTCTGAACAGGGACACAGACAGCAAAAGTAACACCACAGGGTGTTAACCCTTCCCTATGCTATCCAAATTTCAAGATATATATCGGCAGAGCGAGAGAGACATTCAACCGGTTACACTTTTAAAATGTACCTATTCCGACTTACAAACAAATTTTGCTTAAGAACAAACCTTGAGAACCTATCTTGTTCGAAACTTGGGGACTGCCTGTTCTTGAACTTTTGCCAGCATTTACATTTTGAGGCTGAATAAGTCTTATGCCATTTTCCTTATTCAGGGGGGAAACTCATTTCTAAATAAACAGGTAAATATTGTTAATACATAGAGCAAACATTCCATTTGATATGCAATTTATAAATGATGTGTTGTCATGTTGTTACACCTTAAATCGATAGAAAGGGCTTTGTTATAAAATATTAACGATATTTCTATGATCATCCTTTAAAAACAGGTGTCTCAACTGTTGCACCATTTCTGGAAACTGCATGCCTTATCAACTACGGGGCTTGAACGATGGCCACACTCAACATGTCTTGCCTGACTGCTGCTGTGTTGAGGCGGTTGCAGACATTTCGCTCCGCTCAGAATCAGGCTGTATAAAATCCAGATTGTCTACTTTGAATTGGATGATATGGCATTACAGGCTACAATCTGCCTTAATAATCTGGATCAGGGGTCCTCAAACTAAGGCCTGGGGGCCGGATGCGGCCCTCCAAGGTCATTTACCTGGCCCTCACTCAGGGTCAACCTAAGTCTAAAACTATTTGAAAGCACACAACAGCAACAACAATCCTATCTCATCAGCCAAAAGCAGGCCCATGCTTCCCAATGAAATACTAATCTATATATGTATAAATGCTCTGTGCATTATGAGCGCCTTAAAAACAAAAGAACCAATGAACAAAATCACACCAAATTTGGCAACAAAACATCTCACAACACAAGGAGTGACCATCACTCAAAGAATATGATTTTGTCATTTGGGAGTTGTAGTTGCTGGGATTTATAGTTCACCTACAATCAAAGAGCATTCTGAACTCCATCAACGTTGGAATTCAACCAAACTTGGCACACAGAACTCTCTTGACCAACAGAAAACACTGGAAGGGTTTGGTGGGCATTGACTTTGAGTTTGTGAGTTGTAGTTCACCTACATCCAGAGAGCATTGTGGACTCAAACAATGATGGATCTGGACCAAACTTAGCATGAATACTCCATATGCCCAAATATGAACACAAATGAAGTTTGGGGGAAATAGACCTTGACATTTGGGAGTTGTAGTTACTGGGATTTATAGTTCACCTACAATCAAAGAGCATTTTGAACCCCACCAAAGATAGAATTGGGGCAAACTTCCCACACAGAACCCCCATGACCAACAGACAATACTGAAGGCCATCCAGTCAAACTCCCTTCACCAGGACAAGAAAACGTAATCAAAGCCCTCCTGACAAAGAGCCATCCAGTCATAGACAAAGATAGATATGATTCACACACACACAAATATAGTATCATAGATCTGAAAGGGACCCCTGAAGGACAATTATATGTTGCATATTCCAGAATAGGCAAACCAGACACTCTCCACATCAACACTGACAAAGAAACAGCAAGAAATACTGTTTGCCCACAAGCACGAAGAAATTACATATATTAGAAACCAACACTTTCTCATTACTTTATTTTCCAGATCAACAGACTGGGCCACAGCAACGCGTGGCAGGGGATGGCTAGTAAGTTTATATTTGTTAAAATTGTTCTTCATTTTAATTATTGTATTGCTTTTTAGTGTTTTTTAAACCAACACTTTCTCCTTACTTTATTTTCCATATCAACAGACTGGGCCACAGCAACGCGAGGCAGGGGACCGCTAGAAAGTTTATATTTGTTAAAATTGTTCTTCATTTTAAATATTGTACTGCTTTTTAGGTTTTTGTTTTGCACTACAAACAAGATTATGTGCAGTGTGCATAGGAATTCATTCATGTTTGTTTGTTTTTCAAATTATAATCTGGCCCTCCAAAAGGGACTGTGATCTGGCCCTCTGTATAAAGTTTGAAGGCCCCTGATCTGAATGATATGGCCGTGTAGAAGGGGCCTTAGATCCGCGCGGTGGATTCCCCGCTGAGCCTCGGCGTGGAGACCTCGAGCAAGGCGCGCGCGCGCTCAGGCCTCGAGGAAGGCGAGGGCGAATTCCCCTTCGGGGCCAATCCTGACAAGGAAGCTCCCTGGCAGCACCGCCTCGAGTCAGCGCGCGCGCCACAACCTCGACGGTCGATTAGCGGGCACAAGGGCGTGATGGGCAGTAGGCCTGGAAGTCTCTCAAGCCTCCAGGCTGAGTTTCTTGTCCTTCCCTCATGGCCCGCACGTCTCTCATGACAGCTCAAATGCAAAGGAAGGGCTGGGCCAAGAAAGGGCGGCTAAGGTCGCCGGCATGCCTCGTCGAGGCCTGCAGACACCCCCCTCCCTGAGAGAGGCCTCAGGCGCCCACTCAGGCCTCCTTCCAAGAGCCCCCCAGCCCTTCTCCTCCCCTTCCTCCTCCTCCTCCTCCTCCTCCTCACCAGCCTCGGCCTCCCAGTGCAGGCGCCGCGGGAGGCAGGCCGCCCTCCGCCCGCAGCACTTGAGCAGCACGAACGCCATCCCCGCTGAAGAGGCGCAGAGCCTTCGCCGGCCGGGGAAACAGCAACTCCCGGCCTCAGAGGGACCCTATTGGACAGGCGCCGGCACCACGTGACCGGAAGCCCGCCCTCCTGCCTGCTGGGACATGGAGTCTCTCCTTGGCGCGAGGGCCGAGGCGCCCTGGGCGGGGCTGCTTGCCGCCCTTCGGCAACACTCCGGTCAAGGCGAGGCGAAGTCTGGCTTCCGCTACGGTTTCCAGCTTCCGGGTTGGCCCCGGCCGCCATGTTGGCCTTTTCCCAACGTTTCCGCGTGTTTCCTTCCTTGGCAGTCTTCAGGAGGAGCTTGAAAACGTGGTTGTTCCAGTGCGTCTTCCCGGAATAATGAACCCTTAGCACTATGTCCCCCAAAGCACTTTACCTTGACTTAGGACTGCTTGCTTGTATTTCCCCATCAACGCCCCATCTCCTGCATTTTGTCCATGCCTAGCATTATTTTTAAACTTCAATTACATTTGGCCCAGCCGTAGTTTTAAATGGGCACTGCATTTGTTTAATGTTTATGCTATTTGTGTATGTGCTTATTTTAATTGCTTTGCATTGTATCTGTTATTGCTTCTCTTGTTTGTAGATAGATAGGTTTTATTGATTGGCCTATTGGCCGTATCAAAACATTTAACACATAACACATTTAACACTTAGTCATACAACATACAACCCTCAGTATAAGAGAGGTTAAAATAAACAAACTGTTGGCAGATCCCGTTCAGGTCAAATATCTGTGTCACCTCCACAGTTTACCCCAATTGATTCTAAATGTGCAATTCTCAGCTGTGTTGCTTTGAATAGAAAAAGGGCTGTTTTGTGTGTTATTTTAGGATTCTGGCCGGCCAACAAAAATGAGGTTTTAATACGTGGATCCCAGTGTGTTTTGTGAATAATGTATGGTCCAAGGCAATGGTCTCTCTTTCTTATACAGCTCACAGTTGAACAGAACATGTGTGATATCCTCCACCTCTGATGCTCCGCAAATACAAACTCGTTCGTTGTATGGGACCTGATTAAACCTTCCGTGCTTGACCATTGAATCCAGCTGCTCAAAACGAGCTCTGGTAAATACCCTCCTAAGGTGTTTTGGCATATCTGTTTTTAGATATCGAGCTGTTTGGAAAGTGTGTTTAAAGCGGCTTAACCATTTCAATGAACCAGCTTTACTGAGAGTTGCAATGTCTTTTTGGCCTTCTATATCCAATACTCATTGAGCAACTATTTTTGGGTCTAGCTCTTCTAAGAGATTCGGATACTGAGTCGGGAGTCCACAGCTCCTAATATATTTTGTCAGGAGAACTAGCCAAGAGGACTGATGTTGATTTTCTTTCTGCTCCAACAGGCACAATTTTGGACTTCTCTTGTTTGTATTTCGGGCTCAGCCTCATGTAAGCCGCACAGAATCCCCTGGGGAGATGGTAGGTAAAGGTAAAGGTAGTCCCCTGACATTAAGTCCAGTCATGTCTGACTCTGGGGTGTGGTGCTCATCTCCATTTCTAAGCCGAAGAGCCAGCGTTGTCCATAGACACCTCCAAGGTATAAATAAAGTGTTGTTATTGTTATTATTATTATTATAGTCAAGCTTGAGATGGAGAATGACCCAGGAACGGCCAAAACAATGAAACGGATGAGGATTGGAATGAGAGGATATAGCTCTTTTTAAATTGTTATTGCACTGTCTTTTTTGTCTAAATGCACTTAATTGTTTTTGCTTTTGTACTGTATTGATGGCAACGAATTGTGCCAATATGTAGACCACCCTGAGTCGCCTGCGGGCTGATATGGGCGGGATATAAGTGATGTAAATAAATAAATAAATCCTCCCCAGGGAAGCCCGCTCACATGGCGCGAAAGTGGTTCTCCGACCTGTTGGAGGGCCGGATTATAATTTGAAAAAGAAAAAAACATGAAGGAATTCCTATGCACATTGCACATATCTTATTTGTAGCACAAAAAAATAATACAATAATTAAAATGAACAATTTAAACAAATATAAACTTACTAGTATTTCATTAGGGGTAATACAGGGTGAGGCAGCATAACTTCCTTTTTTCAAAACTTAATAAAACCCATTGTATGAATCAGAAATTTTTATTTTTTATAATGTAGGCGCATACCTAAAGTTTTGTTTTACGTAGTTTTGAAGATCAAATTAGGTAGGTGACGTCCCCCATTCTCCATACACTGAGTAAACCGATTTCTGGCGTTTGTCATGACTCTTGCCAGCATAGCAGGCATTATGTTGGCCATTTCTTCCTGGATGTTGGTCTTCAAATCTTGTAGGGTCCTTGGACGGTTCACATAAACACGGGATTTCAAAAAACCCATAGAAAAAAATCACAAGGGGCCAAATATGGACCGTTTTCATCCATACATCCATATGTAGTAGGGCTGTACACTAGTGAAAATTTTGTAACTAAATTTGGTTACTTATTCATTACAGTAATTGCGCAAGTTTCTTAAGTGTTTCTACAGTTTCCTTAGTGAAAATTTTGTTACTCTAACGAGACTAAATAAATGTTGTTACTATTTCATTACAGTAATTACGCCATGTGCATTGATGCTATCATTACTACCATTGGGGAAACTTCTGGGGCTCCTATATCCCTCATTTTTAAAGCTATTGGAGTGATATAGTAGTAGAATACATTCACTACTGTTAGCCCATCAAGTTTCATAATGTTTCATAATGTAATCCTGGAAGTTAAGGGGAATCCATATGTATGTGTATTGTAATGCGTCATAGGGTGGCAGAGGGTGGTAAGGTAGGGGTAATAATTTGTCTTTGTGTTTGGGTTAAGGTAGGCATATAGGCAGTGGCGAATACATATTACGAAATTAGGTTTTGATAAGTATGTAAGAACTTAGTATACACAGAGGGAAGTATTCAGCCAGAGGACTGGGCAACTTGGAAGGCGCTGAACAGACTGCGCTCTGGCACCACAAGATGCAGAGCCAACCTTCAGAAATGGGGCCACAAAGTGGAATCCTCGACATGCGAATGTGGAGAGGAGCAAACCACTGACCACCTGCTGCAATGCAACCTGAGCCCTGCCACATGCACAAGGGAGGACCTTCTTGCAGCAACACCAGAAGCACTCCAAGTGGCCAGCTACTGGTAATACAGGGTTAGTCAAAATGAATAGGCCAATAAGAAAATTAATTTTAGACGAATGTATGTTTATTGTAACCAAACTACAGCTACGTAGCGACAGATAAACTATCAAAGTTTTGTCTCACCTTCAGAGATGTTCGATATGGGCGCCCCGTGTGACACGGCAGATGTCCAAGCGATAGTCCAGTTCATTCCACATCCGTTGCAGCACATCCGACGTAATGGCATCGAATGCAGCAACGTCTGGGAAGGTGTTCGTTGAGGTCCTAACCCTAACCCTAACCCTAACCCTAACCCTAACCCTTGAAATTCTCGCTGGACCGTAATTACTGACATTGTTTTAGCAAATGTCATCACACAAAACGCCTTCTCTTTGCTTGAATCCGCCATTTTGAAAACAGCGACCCCTAGCGACGCCTAGCGGCATTAACGTACATGTGTGTTGCTCAAAAAAAACTTTGATAGTTTATCTGTCGCTACGTAGCTGTGGTTTGGTTACAGTAAACATACATTCGTCTAAAATTAATTTTCTTATTGGCCTATTCATTTTGACTAACCCTGTATAATTGACTGGTTGCCCTGACACGACAAATAAATAAGTAGTAGTCATTTTAATCCAAGGGTATGTTGGTTTGTTTGTCTTGTATGCTGACTTGTCTGTGTTGTTCAATTTTTTACTTCAATAAACATGAATTTTTTAAAAAGTTTCATAATGTTTCACTTATCCATGGATTTTGGGGGAATTTTCAAAGTGTTTATAAACAAACTTTAAAAAAAACTACAAGAGCTATCTACTTGAATTTTATACACAGTGCGCAAGATAACAAAAAAATCAATCCCCAGCAGTTTCAGAAAGGTTCACACATCTGCAGATTTTGGGGGGATTTAAAAAAATTAAACAAAAACAATTTATCCCCCCCAAAAAGCGCCAGCAACAATCCCTTTGAATGTCTGTTTGTCTGTATGACACACAACCACATAACTTAAACTTAACACAGATTTATACTATTACTTTAGTCCTCTTTGCAGATTCAATAATTTTATGTATTATTATTAGACTGACTCTAAATGACACAGCTGGCTGCTGCAGCCTAATGTATTCTAGGAAATATAGTTTAGTGCAGGCATATGGCTTCTCGCTTCCCAAACTGCATGTGCATAATTAAATTACTATAAATGGGGAAGCTTCAGGGACTCCTTTCTCCTTTCACAGCTATTAGGGTGAAACTTGCTGCAATGGTAGAACTCATTTACCACTGCTAGCTCACCAAGTTTCAGAACATTTCCCTTATCCACGGATTTTTCAGGATTTTTTAAAGTTTTTATAAACATTAAAAAAAACTATAAGAGCGATCTCCTTGAATTTTCTATACAATTACACAAGATAACAGGTTAACCCCCCCCCCAACTTGCAGAAATACTCAGATATTACTGATTTCAGGGAATTTTTTATAGTTTTGACAAAAACGTATTTTTTTTTTTAGGCCACAACAGCTATCTCATTGAATGTCTCTCATACTAGCCAAGATAACTTGCATTTAGGGATTTCTTCCCAGCCCAGCACAGAGATTTACTTACTAGAAGGTTTAGTCCTCCTCTTTACAGACTCAACAATTTATTGGAACTCTGGCTGGCTGCGGCTTCAGAGGGACAAATCTCTCCCCTATCCTGATTGGGGCTATCTGGAAAATGTAGTTTAAGGCAGGACCTTTTAAATTCTCTGGAGTAGGGCTCCTCACCTTCCCTAACTACATTTCCCAGAATTCTGTGCTTTCTCAGTCTCTTTCTCAGCAAACTCTGCTTTCTCCCTGCTGCTTCCCTCTCCTAATGGCGAGAGGCCATTAATTTAAAGAGAAATGGCAGCCTTTTTCCACTTTGCTTTGCTTCGTTGTGCTGAAAATAAACTGACTTTGGGAGGCTTCTAAGGTTTACAAAATTCAAACAA